GTTTGTCTTGCCCCCCCACCCTTTTGAACTGTGAGCCGCCCTGAGTCCCCCCAGGGAAAAGGGCGGCATACAAATAAAGGAAAACTAAACTAGAAAATATTCGCTCTTTGCTGTCATCTGATGATGATGCAGCGCTGTTGGAAGCCCTATTTGTGTATATTTTCTTTTCTTTCAATTCTATTATGGGAACTGACCCTACAGATCTCCTGCTATTTTCAATGAGCTAAGTTACAGGTTCCAAAACTTTTCATTGAGATTGCCTGTAGTTCCCTTTAATGCACTCACTTTCCTGCTTGGAATCTATTTCTTTTTAGCGTTGCGCTACGGAATACAGAAACCCAAAGATAGTAAAATCACCGTTACGAAATTGAGCACATCTGCAGCGTTGCTGCATCTGTCCCATGTGAGGCACAGTTGATTTTATCCGGACTGATTATATACTTCTGCGTAGGTTTTGCAGTTGTTGGATGACTTAAGGGTGTGCAAAGAGTTTTGAATTTGAAACACCCCATTTTGAGTGCAAAAACCTGTCTTTCAAGTGTGAATCGGATTATTCTAAGCATTTGGAGAAGTGTCTCGAGTTCAAAATGGCTGTCTTGAGCTGTGAAATTCTTGTTTCAAGGTTCAGGGCTCAGAACAGCTGCTTTCACAATTGGAACATTTTTTCCCCCTCCCCTGCTTGGAAGGTGGGAAATTCAGTTAAAAGCATTTTAAACATCTTTAGGTACGAGCAAGTTGTAATAGGAAAGGGAAATAGGCTAAAAATATGCTCTGGAAATAGAGCTAGCTGATAGGGACAGTAAATCTTCTCTCCTAGCAGGAAAAAAGAATTGCCTGAGACTGAAAATATGAATATTTGTATTATATAGATAGCAATAAATAGCTGCAATAATAAGACGTTTCCCGTTAAATTTACCCGGTTAAAACTAGCAGTGCAGAGCTAGGGAAGGAGGACATTTTAGCGCTCAAGGGTGCTACCTGAAATCAGTATGATGAGATTGGCAAATATAAATTTGGGTATAGCTATGATGTAAGTTTACCATTACCCACAGGATTTTTTAATTCAGTCAAAGTTAAGTCCAGGAGGCATTACAGGTAGTCCTTGACTTATGACCACAATTTTATTTTGGTTACTAACCAGGAAAACAATTTTTTTGAGGAAAAACTAGTCACATTTAACAATCCATATGGCACAGAGGTTGACTACAATAAAACAACGTATGCAATTATATAACAATACAAGTAAAATTGTAAGTTTCCATTTAAGAATTTTAAAAACACAGTAAGGCATGATACAATTTAATATAAGGTAGTTAAATTATTGTCTGGAATAACAGAATAGTAAAATTACCATCCTATTAAGAGCTGAGGTGGCGCAGTGGTTAAATGCAGCACTGCAGGCTACTGCTAGATCAGCAGTTCAGCGGTTCAAATCTCACCGGCTCAGGGTT